CCAACTTCAAAAAGGTTAATGTGAGTGTTCTGAGCTCATGTAAGGTAGGCTAGGCTAAGCTATTATGTATGGCAGTTGGTTATATTAAATGGGTTTTCCATTTATAATAGTTTCAACTTACAGTGGGATTATTATTTTTTTATTTTCTTTTTTTAAAGATTTTATTTATTTATTTGACAGATCACAAGTAGGCAGAGAGGCAGACAGAGAGAGAGGAGGAAGCAGGCTCCTTGCTGAGCAGAGAGCTCGATGTGGGACTCGATCCCAGGACCCTGAGATCATGACCTGAGCCGAAGGCAGTGGCCTAAACCACTGAGCCACCCAGTCGCCCCTACAGTGGGATTATTGAACATAACTCTAAGTTGAAAAAGATCTGTTTTATGTATGTGTATATGAGACGTACAAAATGTAATAAAAAACACAGGTTGATATTTTGAATGGTTTTTTACATCAGCTAGTAAGAAAAATAAGTTTTAATTTTACATTTACTTATTTTCCTTTGTGATTTCTTCACGTAGTTTGGCGTTTTGGACTTTCATTATTTTCTTCTTTGTAAGAACGTCTTTAAAAAATATGTATATAAAAATATATAAATATATATAAATATAAATATATAATATAAATATATATAATATAATATATTCACCCCCCTTCACTTTTAAGTGATAATTTTGCTTTAGGTTGGCTTCTTCCCCTCTTCCCTAGAATTTAAGTATTCTACTCCCATCTTCTGAGAGTTTGAATAATTCTTACCATTGCTTTTCTGTAGGAAAGGTGTTTTTTCTCCCTCTAGTTTCTGGATTGTTTTTAAAAAATCTTTTCGGGACGCCTGGGTGGCTCAGATGGTTAAGCATATGCCTTTGGCTCAGGTCATGATCCCAGGGTCCTGCTTGGATCAAATCCTGCATCAGGCTCCCTGCTCAGCAGAGAGTCTGCTTCTCCCTCTGCCTCTGCCTCTTCCCTTGCTTGTGCTCTCTCTCAAATAAAGTCTTAAAAAAAATTATAATCTTTTAGTTTCTCTTGTTTAAAATGATATGCCATGGGATACCTGGGTGGCTCAGTTGGACCTCTACCTTCGGATCAGGTGCCATGGGATACCTCGGTGGCTCAGTTGGTTGGGCATCTGTGTTCGGGTCAGGTCGTGATTCCATTGTCCTGGGATTGAGTCCCACATTGGGCTCTTGCTCAGCAGGGAGTCTGCTTGTCCCTCTCCCTCTGCCTCTACCCTCTGCTCGTGCTCGCTTGCTCGCTCTCTCCCTCTGTATATCTCAAATAAATAAATAAAATCTTTAAAAAATAAAAGTAATATGCCTAAATTACTTTTGCCTTTGGACATTTTTTCCCCCTTGGTGTTCTCTTGAGCTTCCTGGATCTGTGATTTATTTGTCTGGCATTAATTTTGGTAGAAATTCTTTGTCATTATTATTTGAAATAATTTCTTTTTTCTCCCTGTTTTACCTTCTGGTAGGCCAATTACACACTGTTCAATTTTTTTGTAGCCCCACAGTCCTCTTATCTCCCTCTCCCTGCAGTAATTATTCCCCAGTTTTTCGGTTTTTGAGGATTCTTTTGATAAATTCTTTATCTCCAGTATTCTTTCCCCACCTGTATCCAGTCTACTAATAATCCCATTAAATACATTTTATATTCTTGTTACAGTGTTTTTGAAGTTCAGCATTTCTTCTTGATCCTTTGTTACCATTTCTGTCTTCTCTGGTTCCATTGCCCTTCTGTTCTTGTATGCTGTTCTGTTTATGTACTAGTTATTTTTAGCATATTGTATTGTTGAATTCCCAGTTTGATAAATCCCATATATTTCCATTTTCCTTCTGATGCTTGTTTTTTTCAGATTGTGTTTTTGCCCTTCGTATGTCTTGTAAATTTTTTCTAAAATTTGGATTAGTATATTAATTAAAAAGAACTGCTATAAATGGTAATGTGGTAAAGTGGGAGGGGTGAGGGAAAGTGTCTTATCAAGACTATGATTAGGTTTCCCTCTTTAGGGAACCTTTGCCTTTGTGAAGTGAATTGAATTTTTCTGTTTCTGTTTCCCCACTTAGAATAAGAGGACTGGAGTGGGCTGGAGTTGGGTGTTTCTCTTAAGGTTTTGCTACCCTGACCTTTTCCTACTTAGCCGTTTGCTCTGGGCAGTGTATAATATGCAATACAATGTGACTCATTGTATTATGAATTTGGTTGTTTAGAGTTGTTTAAAAATAAATCCTTTAAAAAAATAAAAATAAACCCTTAATCATTTAGTCATTTCTTAGACATGAAATGTAGTGTATTAATGAGATAAGCATTCTTATATACACTCATTATTTCTAGAGCATTAAGTTTGCATACTTAAAAATTCTGATTATTTTAATTTTATGAAAATATTTGAAAAAAGCAAGTTTAGAGTGTGTGGTTGGGTCCCTCAGCTAAGTATATGCCTTTGGCTCAGGTCATGACCCCAGGGTCCTGGGATTGAGTACCTCCTGGGGCTCCCTGCTCAGCTGGGAGTCTGCTTCTCCTCTGTGCCTCACCCTGTCCATTGCTTCTGCTCTCTCTCAACTATCTCAAATAATAGTAAAATGGGAAGGACGTTTCCCTTTAGTTTTTTCTTTGTGTATTGAAGTCTATGGAAGATTGGATTGGATTTGTTTTTGAGAGAGCTTGAGCGCACTTGTGCTTGAGAGACCTTCACGGGTGTGTGAGGGTGGTGGAGAACCTGAAGCAGGCTCTACCCTGGGCTCCATCTTACGACCCTCAGACGGTGGACCTGAGCTGAAATCATGAGCCAAAATCGAGAGTCTGTTGCCCAGTTGTTGAGCCACCTAGGCCCTCCCATGGAAAGAATTTAGATAATATTTACAGTTCTATTGTGAAAAATGTCTAAAATCGTAAAAATGATTGTTTGAGATATGAAAATCCTCAGCATATTACACTATGTACTAGCTCTTCTTCTGGTATACTACTCATAGGTCATTTTACTTGGACTTAGAGGGGCAAGTAAAATGAGTTCATTCCTAAGTATTTTACTGTAAATGTTTCCCCGGAAGTAATTTAAGAAATAAATTTAGGGGCGCCTGGGTGGCTCAGTGAGTTAATAAGCCTCTGCCTTCAGCTCAGGTCATGATCTCAGGGTCCTGGGATCGAGCCCCATATTGGGCTTTCTGCTCAGCGGGAAGCCTGCTTCCTCCTCTCTCTCTGCCTGCCTTTTTGCCTACTTGTGATCTTTCTTTCCATCAAATAAATAAATAAAATGTTTTTTAAAAAATTTAAAGACTTTCAGGTACTATTAAAAATGTCAGAATTTCCTGTGCTCTTTATTTTTTAAAATTTTAATTTTTTTTTTAAAGATTTCATTAACTTATTTGAGAGTATAATCTGAGGAGAAAGGCAGGAAGGAGAAGCAAACTCCCCACTGAGCAGAGAGCTGGAGGTAGGCCTCTATTTTAGGACCCTGGGACGAGCAGACGGCAGTCGCTTAACCCACTGTGTTGCCTATGTGCCCCTTTTTAATTTACTTTAGTGTTGCCATAAATTCTAATAGGTTTATGTCATATCTCTTTTACCTTTTTACCTTCTGTTCCTTTTTTTTAGGGTTGGCAGGAACTGCTTCAAGTGATCCCAAACCTTTTATACCTTTGGATGGTTTAGGGAGCATAGGAATAACCATTTTGAAATTAAATTGAAACTAGTGGTAGCCCAAGGTAATGTTGATTGTATTGATAAGGGAAACAAAAGCAATAGACATAAAGCTTAAATTAAATCTCCTTATGGCTTGCAGCCCACTGATATCTGAAACTGCAAAATGTGACCTTCCTCAAGGAACTTGGGGCTGTTTTGGTGCCTTCATGGTTATGGGTGTTTTTTTTTCTTTTTTTTTTTTTGGCATTTTTCATTTTTATTTTTTAAAGATTTTATTTATTTATTGGACAGAGAGATACAGTGAGAGAGCGAACACAAGCAGGGGGAGTGGGAGAGGGAGAAGCAGGCTTCCCACCAAATAGAGAGCCGGATGTAGGGCTCGATCCCAAGACTCTGGGATCATGACCTGAGCTGAAGGCAGATGTTTAATAACTGAGCCACCCAGGTGCCCCATTGTTTATGTTTTATTAAAGAAAAAAGTCACCTTATCTTAATAGCAGCTAGTCCCTCAAGGTCCTGAAAGTCTTCCTTCCATATTCCTTCTAGACTTACGCTATCTCTAATGCCCAGTAATTAAAAAGTATATAATCAGTCACTGCTCACAGTCCCACTGCAGCTCTTTGTGCCCATGGATACTGTCCCCATGCTATAATAAGGTCATTTTTTTGGACCAAAAATATCTCAAGAATTCTTACCCATTTGCTCATAAACTCCAAACTGCCAAATTTCATCAGTTTCAACAGAAGCATGTATGTATGTGCTTTTATTTTCTTGGGAAGTAAGTTGCATTTTTGAGGAAAAATTAGAAAATTTATTATATTATATAATAGGCTTAGAAAATTACCATGAGATTTGTTCCATGAGGGAAACCAAAATGATTGAAGTAATTGTCAAGACTGGACATTTATTTAAGCAAGGAGAAAATCTGATAATGATTTTATATTATAATGATAATGATTGCCAGTAGATTGTTTATTTCTGTTGTGTTCATAGATAATTTTATTGGTAGCCCATAAATAGTAAATTGTTTGCTATTTATATCATAGTGTGCTGAGATGCAGGCTAGAGGGGCAGCTTATTAAAATCTTTGGGGCACCTGGGTGGCTCAGTGGGTTAAGCCTCTGCCTTTGGCTCAGGTCATGGTCCCAAGGTCCTGGGATCGAGCCCTGCATCAGGCTCCTTGCTCAGCAGGGAGCCTGCTTCCCTTCCTTTCTCTCTGCCTGCTGCTCTGCCTTCTTGTGATCTCTCTCTCTCTGTCAAATGAATAAATAAAATCTTTATTAAAAAAAAATTTAAGATCTTTGTTGTATGGATTTTCAAATGAGACATAAACAATTCACTAATAATTACTTTTCTTTTTTCAGCATTATCTGCATATCAGAGATACTACAGTTTACAGACTGATTACTGGAAGGTTAGTACACATTTCAGTGCCAGATTTGTTTTCTTATTTTGGCACAGATTATACAACATTGTAATGCTAAGTAATTGGAAAGAAAAGATTATTTTCTTTAGCTGTTTTGTGTTAAAGTATCTTGTTCCTCACTGGTATTTTTGTAACATATTCTTAGTAAAAGATACTAAGTGTGGTGTGTTAATAACAAAGCGAAAGCAGGGGAAAAAAAATTACTAATCTTTTTTAAGTCCAGAGCTGGGAATAATGAAGGATGGAGGATAGTTGGTTTTTTTTTTTCCCCCCTAAGGTGGGTGAGCTAGGCTGCCTGCTAAGGGAAAGATTCCTTATTTTTATATTTTCTCTGTGATGGGAACTCTGCAGAGAATTAAAATTATTTTAGAAGGTCTATTTAAATGAGGAATTAGGTGTAAGGATAAATTATCCATTGTATTATATCCATTGAACCGGATAAACCAGTAGGTTAATCATTCACAGCATATGTACTTCCAAGTATGGTATAGGAAGCTGAATAGATTGCTTTTCAACAATAGCCACCATAAAGGAGGCTGGGTGGCTCAGTCCAGTTGTTAAGTGGCTGCCTTCTGCTCAGGTCACGATCCCAGAGTTCTGGGATTGAGCCCCACATCAGGCTCTGCTTGGTGGAAGGTCTACTTCTCCCTCTCTCATTCACCCTGCTTGTGTTCCTCTCTCTCTGTAAAATAAATAAAATCTTAAAAACAAAACAAAACACTGTCATTATTTTATGCCATAAAATCAATGTATCTTATAATACGATATAAGCCATAATCTGTTTTAGGTATAACTGTCATGAGGATTAGTTATAGATAACGTGTGCATGAATGGGAAATTTTAGGGTATGCAAAATCAGTGTGTTGGTCTGTAATTTAAATAAAAATGGAATGGAAAGAAACAAAACTGAAGTCTACTTAATCCATAAATATTCTAATAAGGTTCAGTTAAATTTGTTGATTAGTTTTTCTTTTGGTTGCGTATTACAGAACTACAATTCAGTCAACCGTAGAATGCATCCTTTTGAAGGTTAAAATTCAGTGTTTTGTTTTTCTTTAAAAAGATTTTATTGTTGGGGCGCCTGGGTGGCTCAGTGTGTTGGGCCGCTGCCTTCGGCTCGGGTCGTGGTCTCGGGGTCCTGGGATCGAGCCCCGCATCGGGCTCTCTGCTCGGCGGGGAGCCTGCTTCCTCCTCTCTCTCTGCCTGCTTCTGATCTCTCTCTGTCAAATAAATAAATAAAATCTTAAAAAAAAAAAAGATTTTATTGTTAAGTAATTTCTCCACCCATTGTGGGACCACAAATCAGGAGTTGTGTGTTCTACTGATTGAACCAGCAAGGTGTCTCATGTTTTTTAATTAATAAAGTTGTGTAACCATCACCATTGTCAATTTTAGAATATGTTCATCATATGAAAACAAAATCCTGTATTCTCTTCCCTAATCCCTCCATAACCCTTTCTCAAGGAAACAATTAATTTGCTGTTATGTATTTGCCTAGTTTGAACTGGTCTTTTCACTTCACATGTTTTCAAAGTTCATCCCTACTGTAGCTTGTATAGCCAGTCCTTAATTTTTTTTTTTTTTTTAAGATTTTACTCACTTTAGAGATCGAGTGAGCAAGATGGGGGGAGGGGCAAGTGGGTTGGGGGAGAGAGAAAATCTCAAGCAGACTCTATGCCCTGAGTGTGGAGCTGGACTCGGGTCTTCATCTCAGGATTCTGAGATCATGACTTCACCTGAAATCAGGAGTTGGACTTAACTGACTGAGCCATCCAGATGTCCCCCAGTACTTAAATTTTTTTTTTTTTTTTTTACAAAATTTTAATTGCAGTGTAATTAACACAGGGTGTTAATGTTAATTTCAGAGGCATAGTATTGTGATTGACAATTTATGTTAGTCCTAATCAAGATAAGCGTACTCTTTTTTTTTTTTTTTAAAGATTTTATTTATTTATTTGTCAGAGAGAGAGAGAGAGAGCGAGAGTGAGCACAAGCAGATAGAGTGGCAGGCAGAGGCAGAGGGAGAAGCAGGCTCCCTGCTGAGCAAGGAGCCCGATGTGGGACTCGATTCCACGATGCTGGGATCATGACCTGAGCCTAAGGCAGCGGCTTAACCCACTGAGCCATCCAGGCGTCCCAAGATAAGCGTACTCTTAATTCCCATCACCTGTTTCACCCATCCCCACTGACCCACTTGCCTTCTGGCAACCATTAGTTTGTCCTTTATAATTAAAAGTCTGTTTTTAGGTTTGTCCCTTTTTTCCCCATTTTTCATTTGTTTTGTTTCTTAAATTTCATGTATGAGTGAAACAGTATAGTATTTGTCTTTCTCTGACGGACTTATATTGCTTAAGATTATAACCTCTAGATCCATCCATGTTGTTTCAAATGACAAGATTTTTTTTTCTTTTTATTTTATTTTTATTTTTTATTTATTTATTTTTTTTAAAGATCTTATTTATTTATTTGACAGACAGAGATCACAAGTAGGCAGAGAGGCAGACAGAGAGAGAGGGGGAAGCAGGCTCTCCACCGAGCAGAGAGCCCGATGCGGGGCTCGATCCCGGGACCCTGAGACCATGACCCGAGCCGAAGGCAGAGGCCTCAACCCACTGAGCCACCCAGGCGCCCCTTTTTTTTCTTTTTAATGACTGAATAAGATTCTGTCTTATCCTTTCATTCAGCAACAAATGGGCTGCTTCCATAATTTGACCATTGTAAATAATCCTGCAGTAAACATAGGGAGTGCATGTATCCTCTTGAAATTGTGTTTTTGTATTTTTTTGTGAATACTCATTACTGAAAATACTAGATCGTAGAGTAGTTCTGTTTTTCACTTTTTGAGGAACTTCATGTTTTCCAGAATGGCTGTACCAGTTTGCATTCCCACCAATTGTGAAGGAGTGTTCCTTTTTTATCCACATCTTTGCCATACCTTGTTTTCTCCTGGATTTTTGATTTTAGCCATTCTGAAGGTGTGTGGTGATATCTCATTGTGGTTTTTGTTTTTTTTTTAAGAATTTTAAAAAAGTAATCTCTATGTTCCATGTGGGGCTGGAGCTCACAATCCCGAGTTCAAGAATCACATGTTCCACTGACACCTAACCACGTGCCCCAGTATGTCATTGTGGCTTTGATTTACATTTCCCTTATGTTGAGTAATCTTGAGCATCTTTTCATAGGTCTGTTGGCCATCAGTCTTCTTTGGAGAAATGTGTGTTCATGTCCTCTGTCCATTTTTAAAATTGGATTATTTGGGATTTTTGTTTTTGTTTTGTTTTGTTTTTTTGGTGTTGAGCTGTATAAGTTGTTTACATATTTTGGATACTAACCCTTTATCAGAGATTTCTTTTGCAAGTTATCTCCTCCCATTCAGTAGGTTCCCTTTTAGTTTTGTTGTTTGTTTCCTTCATTTTGCAGAAGTTGTTTGTTTTTTTTTAAAGTATTTATTTATGTGACAAACAAATCACAAGTAGGCAGAGAGGCAGGCAAAGAGAGAGGGGGAAGTAGGCTCCTTACCAAGCAGGGATGTGGGGCTTGATCCAGGACCCTGGGATCATGACCTGAGCTAAAGTCAGAGGCATTAACCCACTGAGCCACCCAGGCACTCCTTGAAGAAGATTTTTATTTTGATGTAGTCCCAATAGTTCATTTTCACTTTTATTTCCATTACTTTAGGAGGCGTACTTAAAAAAAAAAAAATACATTGTTAGCACCAGTGTCAGAGAAAGTCCTGCCTATGCTCCCTACCATGATTTTTATGTTTTCAGGTCTAACATTTAGGTTCTTAATCCATTTGAGTTTCTTTTTGTGTATGGCTTAAAAAAGTGATCCAGTTTTACTACTTTGCATGTAGTTTTCCCCACACCATTTGTTGAACAGATTGCCTTTTTCCCATTTGTAATTCTTGCCTCCTTTTTGAAGATTAATTGACGATGTAATCATAGATTTGTTTCTGGGCTCTCTATTCGGTTCCATTTATCTGGTGTGTATATTTGTGCCACTGCAATACTGTTTTAATAATACAGCTTTGTGTGTAGTATAACTTGAAATCTGGAATTGTAAAACCTCAGATTGCTTTGGCTATTCAGGGGTCTTCTGTGATTCCATAAATATTTTAGGATTGTTTGTTCTAGTTCTGAGAAAAATGGTGTTGGTATTTTGATAAGGATTGCATTTAATGTGTAGGTTGCTTCGGTAGTGTGGACATTTTAACATTTTGTTATTCCAGTCCATTCGTTTGTATCATTTTTAATTCCTTGGATCACTGGTTTTATAGTTTTCAGAGTAAAGGTCTTTCAGCTCTTCAGTGAAATTGATCCTAAGTATTTTATTATTTTTGATGCAGTTGTAAATTGGGATTGTTTTCTCTTTCTGCTGCTTTATTATTGTATACACATGCAACAGATTTCTCTATGTGATTTTCGTAATCCTTCAACTTTTCTGAATTCATTTGTCAGTTCTGGTAGTTTCTGTTTGTTTGTTTTAAGATTTTATTTGTCAGAGAGCGCACAAGCAGAGGGGAGCAGCAGGCAGAGGGAAAGTGGAGGGAGAAGCAGTCTCCCCGCTGAGCAAGGAGCCCAGTGTGGGACTCTATCCCCAGGACCCTGGGATCATGACCTGAGCCAAAGGCAGACACTTAATGGACTGAGCCACCTAGGTATCCCCAGTTCTGGTAGTTTTTTGGTAGAGTCTTTATAGGTTTCTATATGGAGTATCGTGTCATCTATAAATAGTAAAAGTTTTACTTCTTTCCAGATTGGATGCCTTTTATTTCTTTTTGTTGTCTAATTGCTATGGCTAGGAGTTCAGTATTCTGTTGACCAAAGGTGCGGAGAATGGACATTCTTTTTTTTTTTTTCCTTAAGATTTATTTATTTATTTGACAGAGATCGGAAGTAGGGAGGGGGGGGGGGGGGGGGGGGGGGGGGGGGGGGGAAGCAGACTCCCCGCTGAGCACAGAGCCTGATCAGGGCTCAATCTCAGGA